CATTTCAATTAGACGTATATCACCAAATTGAAATTAAGTAACAACTATTTGTCCCTCATGTCTCTCAGAATGGAACTAACCTATTGTTACTGTTATCTCAATAAGGCATTATTAGTTAATCAGCATGGATGAAAAATCATCAAAAGCTTAAATCTACCTACTTGCTCAGGAATTAACATGTACACCCACACACCTGTTTGAGAAATATGTCTTTTGAAAAAGAAATATCAGCTGTTTATAATTTAATTAAGGCAATGGTTGGGGGGGGGAAGCTTTTGTAAATAGACCAATTGTGACTGTCTTAATGGTTGTTATTGAAAGTTTTCTATTTGTCATTATCTTGGGGAAATGGCAGGCGGTATTTAATTAGAAATCATTCAAAAACTAGGAACCAATAAATGTTGTGAACGTAGACACAGAAAAAGGACACCTGTAGACATAAAAATTATATGTCGGCAACTAACGACACCTACAGGATTTTGTGAGTAAAGACAGAAAAAAATAATGGGATAAAATTCAGTCAGTCTGAAAATGAGATGTAAATGCAGTTGCAGATTTTGAAGAAGGGCAGTTGATCGCTTAATTGAAAGAATAAGGAAATTCACACACACACACACATAATTTTCTATATTCAGTGCTGGATTTACTTATTGACTTAGCAGGCTGAAACCTAGGGGCTCAAAGTCTAGGGGTCCTCCAACCTAGGTGTATAATATTTTTGATACTTTTTTTTCTTACACATGCTGTCATAATTCATTGTAGACTCTAAATAACCCTTCAGTAATTTTAAACATCTGTCATCATCCTTGGCTTTACTCAAATTGTTTAATTTAACACTCTTCCACTTTCCTCTACTGATGAGCATAGGGGATTTGGAGGGGGCCTCACAAGTGGAATAGACTTCTTCATCTAAATCCAGCATTGTCTACACAATTAAATGAGTCTGCTATATAAACAAGTTGCCCATCTCTATACATTTTACTTTTCTGATAAAATAATAGAATTTTTATTATTTTCAACTTTGTAAATAAACCTCACTGAGATCCAAGTAGGTTTTGCGGCCTGTCAGTCTGGTAAAATCTATATCCCAAATGATTTTTAGCTCTAAAATTACTTTTAAGTTGTAGATAAATGGATAGTAATAATTTTGTAATTGCATTCTATGCATAAAATAGGAAAACCTTAAAAAAAAATAAAAACATAAAAAAATATTAATGATAAAATTAAATCATTATAAAAGATTCTGTTCTCTTTTTTTCATTATTTTCCTGGAATGATACTGAGTGGATGAACATAACAAAAATAAACCAAAGGAAAGGAAAAAAAAATCATCACACTTTATTATTTATTCGTGAGAGGGAGTGATTATTTCCATGATTATCATTATTATGGAGAACATTTGCAGGTGCAACATTTCAAACTTCAAGAAGTCGGTATTTACTCTGGCCTCCCTACTGAGACAGGATGTGACACAAGATCGGATTTAACATGGGGAACCTGAGCATGTACATGCAGGTTAAGGACAAAAATTGCTCAGGAATTACTTCAATAATGAGAAACACAAACTCCATCTTTTCAAAGTACACACGCACAGTTACATCAACAAGTGTGTATGTTACGCAAACAGCATGACATCTTTGAAGATGAAATGACCAGAGAAGCAGGTAGTAACAAACATAAATTCTAAAGAGTTAAATGATCAAGAACAGTATTGGGGGTGGGGGTTGCAATACAACAAACCTGAAAGAAAGAGAAAGTCATTTTACTTTAGGCAACAGAGAGAGAAATATTTTAAGACAAACAGCTATTGGTTTTTGAAAGTGAAAGGAGGAGGTTGAAAAATCAAAATTTCAAGAAGAAACCAAAAAATAATCAACATTATTGAGACACTCAAATCTTTTCTTTGTTATATTTACGATTATCATCACAATGTTTCGGCCAATCCATTCTTCAAACTTCTTCAGTCTGGTGGGGAAATTAACGAACAATTTCTGTTGTCTGTTAGGGTTTTCTTTTTTTCATTAGAGATTACACTTGAAGAGAGTTGAATGAATTTGTCTAAATGTTGAGATAGCAACAATAAACATACAAACAAGAGATTTGAATATCCAAATAATGTTAGGTAAGAAGCAGAAAAATGAAGTTAATTGACTGCAATGAAATTATTGGATGTTTTAACACTTTGACAAATTTCTGATCCTGAATATTTTAAAATATTAAAATTCTGATAAACGTTAATTTGGTATCTGACAGGAGAGGGGGATGTTTATTCCCTGATTACAATGAGGAATAATCGAATAAGGAAAAGGCAATGAAATAATCAACACTAGTTGAGGTAAAAATTAAGAAAGGTCCTGCAGCAATGTGTTATGGGAGTTGAGTTGAATCACACTATCATACATGTTGTTGACAAAGATAAGATTTGGAGAGACAGATTTTGTAATCACTGGTGGGGGTATGGAGAAGAGAAGGGACAAGAGTAGAGTGACCAGGGTGGTAGTCAGAGTAAGAAAGAAAAAGACGTAAGAGAAATAGCAAATAAAAAGATGTGGAAGAAGAAGAGAAAGTGGGGATGAAAGAAGAAAAAAAAAGGAAAAAGCCGGGAGGGAAAGAGAAGAAGAAGAAGAAGAAGAAGAAAAAAAGCCGGGAGGGAAAGAGAAGAAGAAGAAGAAGAAAAAAAAAGCCGGGAGGAAAAAGAAGAAGAAGAAGAAGAAGAAAAAAAAGCCGGGAGGGAAAAGAGAAGAAGAAGAAGAAGAAGAAGAAGAAGAAAAGCCGGGAGGGAAAGAGAAGAAGAAGAAGAAGAAGAAGAAAAAAGCCGGGAGGGAAAAGAGAAGAAGAAGAAGAAGAAGAAAAAAAGGGGGAGGGAAGAAGAGAAGAAGAAGAAGAAGAAGAAGAAAGAAAAGAGGGGAAAGAGAAGAAGAAGAAGAAGAAAAGCCGAGGGAAAAGAGAAGAAGAAGAAGAAGAAAAGCTGGGGAGGGAAAAAGAAGAAGAAGAAGAAAAAGCAGGGAGGGAAACAGAAGAAGAAGAAGAAAAGCAGGGGAAAAAACAGAAGAAGAAGAAGAAAAGCAGGAGGGAAACAGAAGAAGAAGAAGAAAAGCAGGGAGGGAAACAGAAGAAGAAGAAGAAGAAAAAAAGGAGGGAAACAGAAGAAGAAGAAGAAGAAAAGCAGGGGGAAACAGAAGAAGAAGAAGAAAAAAGCAGGAGAAACAGAAGAAGAAGAAGAAGAAAAAGCAAGGGAAAAGCAAGGAAGAAGAAGAAGAAGAAGAAAAAGCAGGGAGGGAAACAGAAGAAGAAGAAGAAAAGCAGGGAGGGAAACAGAAGAAGAAGAAGAAAAGCAGGAGGAAACAGAAGAAGAAGAAGAAAAGCAGGGAGGGAAACAGAAGAAGAAGAAGAAAAGCAGGGAGGGAAACAGAAGAAGAAGAAGAAAAGCAGGAGGGAAACAGAAGAAGAAGAAAAGCAGGAGGGAAAAGAAGAAGAAGAAGAAAAGCAGGGAGGGAAACAGAAGAAGAAGAAGAAAAGCAGGGGGAAACAGAAGAAGAAGAAAAAAGCAGGGAGGGAAACAGAAGAAGAAGAAGAAAAGCAGGAGGGAAACAGAAGAAGAAGAAGAAGAAAAGCAGGGAGGGAAACAGAAGAAGAAGAAGAAGAAAAGCAGGGAGGGAAACAGAAGAAGAAGAAGAAGAAAAGCAGGGAGGGAAACAGAAGAAGAAGAAGAAGAAAAGCAGGGAGGGAAACAGAAGAAGAAGAAGAAAAGCAGGGAGGGAAACAGAAGAAGAAGAAGAAAAGCAGGGAGGGAAACAGAAGAAGAAGAAGAAAAGCAGGGCGGGAAACAGAAGAAGAAGAAAAGCAGGGAGGGAAACAGAAGAAGAAGAAGAAAAGCAGGGAGGGAAACAGAAGAAGAAGAAGAAAAGCAGGAGGGAAACAGAAGAAGAAAAGAAAAGCAGGGAGGGAAACAGAAGAAGAAGAAGAAAAAGCAGGGAGGGAAACAGAAGAAGAAGAAGAAAAGCAGGAAGAAAGCAGGGAAACAGAAGAAGAAGAAAAGCAGGGAGGGAAACAGAAGAAGAAGAAGAAAAGCAGGGAGGGAAACAGAAGAAGAAGAAGAAAAGCAGGGAGGGAAACAGAAGAAGAAGAAGAAAAGCAGGGCGGGAAACAGAAGAAGAAGAAGAAAAGCAGGGCGGGAAACAGAAGAAGAAGAAAAGCAGGGCGGGAAACAGAAGAAGAAAAGCAGGGCGGGAAACAGAAGAAGAAAAGTGAAAGGGAGTAAAGAAGAAAAACAAGAAGAAAAGAAAGAAGTGAAAAAGAGGAAAATAAAGAGGAGAGTAAAGGGATAAAGGGAGAAAGAAATGGGACAAAATAAGTCTGTGCCTCGGTTAATGTCTTAGCAAACCATCAAAGATAAAGCCGTTTGCTTTGACACCTGGTTTCTGCGCAAGAAAGATAATAGCCAAGGGACTGCTGAACCGACAAGAAAGAGGCTTTATTGCCAAACATTATGGCGGAAGCAAACTATAGTCATGAATTTCGTGATGAGGTATCGATCTGATGCTTCTCCAGAGAAGGAGGAGGAAGAATGAGTAAAGTGTGAGGAGAAATGTAAAGGGAGGTAAATCAATAAATGTTACACATTCAAACAGAGACACAAATTGTTACATTTCTTTGCTTATTATTCTCGATGCCCCTTTTCACACACATATCATTTATTTACATACTTAAGACTTTCTTCTTCTCCGTTTTGATCTTTAATTCTTCTTAATTTCTGCTTTTAAGTACTAACTACACCAAACCGTCCTCCCTTCTTGGTATTTAAGTGCAGTCATATTTTATTGACTTTTACTCTGGCAAAATATCCTCAAGCGTAAAAGACAGTCACAAGATGTAAGAATAGCAAACACGGATTAATAATTTTGTCGAAATTTGTCATCACTCTACCAAACTATAATCTCAATATATTGTTGTTTCTTCACTAATTCAGAGAGAACATGTTTGGTAATTAATTAATTGCTAGAAGACATCAATTAGCGAAGTGGTTCAGGAGTAAACGTTAAAAGCTACCCAGATATCCATTTTAAGTAACAACATTAGCTATCAAGGTTGCCAGATGGGGGGGCTACATTTGAAAACATTAATGATAATAAATTTTGCACTGACATTTAGCCCAAGTTAGGCCAGTTAATTTAAAACTCTGAAATTAGTTGGCATGGTAAGATGTTGTCAAGTTCTTTGGATGAATTGGATTAAAAAAAGATATTCAAAACTCTGACAAAGCTGGGTGCATGTTTACAACAACAGTGACAAATCTGAAAAGCAAAAAGACAACAATGAGCAAAAGACAAAGTTTTCTATTTTTAAAGGACATAATAGGCAGTGTGACATGTGAGCAAGTGTGTGGGCAAAAGGTGGAGCTACTGGCTGACTCATGACAAATAAGCACTTGCAAGGGGGTGGAGAGCCAAAGAAGAAGTGCTGCCTGGTTGGCGGTAGTGCAGGTCATATGAGCAGTGGCTAAAGAGTCTGCCTGGTAAGTCGGAAACAGTCATTGATAAGCAGCAAGATTATTCCAGTTAAAATCTTTTCATTAGCATTACAAATCGATTAAGAACTCTGAATTCATCCAGAGATGGCTTCAAACTTTCCACATTCTACATTGGCATCTACGGACAGATAGTCATGCAACTGGATGTACATGAGTACATAGAAACATACATAAATAAGCAGAAATTATATACTGAGGACAAGGGTGAAAGAGAGAGAGCAGAAGACAAAAGAGGGTGGGAGGGGGGTGCCAAAATGCTTTTAGTCAGATGAAAAGAAATCTCGTTTTGACTTTCTGTAAGAATTTACCCATAGACTTTTGAGTAGATTCAGAATACATAAATAACTTGAGAATCATGAATTTACAATCGACATTCCCAAAGCAAAAGAAAATAAGGAAGCAAGCATAAAACTGACTGAACACTATGAGTTTTTTTTTCTTCTTTTTCTTTCTTTTTTTTTTCCCCTGTGGCATGTGTGTGTGTGTGTAGTGATGGGGGGGGGTCGTTCAAACTCCTAAACTCACAGGAAAAAAAAAAAGTGTCATATGATAAATTTTGATGGAAAAAAAAAAAAAAAGAAAGAAAGAAAACGTGAATAGTGTATAAAGAAAATTATTTGTATATAAGTTACTGGTAATTCCATCTCATATACCAATATAGCGCAGAAATAACTTTACATACATTGAATCCACACAGACAATTAGACAGAATGAGGGGAAACTGAGTACAAAACAAACTTATAGACAAAAATATATAAAACACACAGCATATTCTATATAGGAATGTAAATATATATTTTGTGTATAGAACTTTTCTAAGAGTACACATGTAGTAAGTTATAATCAGAAGGAAAGGATTTGTATTTTTATCGTTTATCAACCCTTTGCAGGTTATTTAAAGCCGGAAAATATTTTTAGATTATAAGAATTTTTTTGAGACAATAATGATTTAGTGATACAAGTCTTACCCATAGTGGGGGGGGGGGAGATGATGTGGAGTCATACCTAATCAGAATTTGATAAACAAACAAGAGATTATAATGTGGATATGAAGTGGAGGATCAATTCTATATTACAATCAGTATATAAATTGATCCCTCATTTTGTGACCACGTTAGTTTCTATACATTTATATTCCAGAGAATGTAAATAAATCAGAGACATCAGTATTTTTATTGACCGATTGATTTGTTTTCTACGGCTTAACATTTTTCAGGTTATTTTAAGCCTGAAAATATTGTTAGATTGTAAAAATTTTCAGAAGATAATGATTTATTGATACAAGTCCTACTAATTAATCCATAAATGGTGGTGGTGGTGGGAGAGGAGAAGATGTGGATTCATACCTTTCCCAATGCTATTTGTGTATAAGTGAATATAACACTTAAACTGAAATTTTAGCTTTGTTTTCCGATTTCCAATCTCAAACTCTTATCAATTACACCACCTGCACACCCAAACTTACAGCACCTGGTATTCCCAAGCAGTCACACGTATAGGCTCAATGTTGCTTAATTTCGAGGAAAGTCACAGGACCGGCAAGTGACACAAAAGCGTTATCCATATATTAATAATTCAGTTATTTTTTATGGGTACTACTACTATTACATACTAGTGTAAAAAAATATTAAAATAAACCTCAACTAATGTGTCTTATAATTTTAAAATAATCCACAGATGAAAAATATATTGCCAAGTGTTGTTATAGATGGTCAGATTGATTCTTAAATTAAATAGGCATATTGATGATCCTGTGGAAGGATTTATGAATAGAAAGTGGGAATTTGATTTATTTTATGCTTTCAAGTCTTTCATCTTTTGCAGTAAAATATTTCTACATATATCTGTTTGGTATAAGACAATAGCTACATTTCTGTTAGTAATGTCTGGATAAGAAGAAGAAAAAAAATGTGTGTGCTTTGAAAAAGCAAAATATCACTGAAGAATTTTATCCCCAAGATTATATCTTTGTTTTCATAGTATTTCTTCAGAGTGTTAATTTATCACAAACAGATGTTATATTTTTTTTTTTAATATGCTACTAACCGTTGTATATATTACACAGTTACACTAAACACTATTATGACTAGTATCTCTGAAAAAGAAACCTTCAAGTATGTAAATAGTGAAAAAGTAAATTTTTTGTTGACAAGCAAGATTGTAAGATAGATATTTCGGCAAAGTTTAGCAAGCATACAAGGGATGGAGGGGGGGGGGTGCCAAAAAAAAAAAAAAAAGGAAGGGTTTTTCTTTTGCCACCACTATTACTACATAATGCCTTGGCAATTTTTATCCTTTTAAAAAGCTTCTTTTTTTTTTTTTTAATTTTAATAAAACCATAACAGATGAAATTGGATTTATATACTTTTTCTCAAGAAGCTATTTAATATTTATTAATTAGATTGTTTATTTACAAGAATAATTTTATATTTAGAAGATTATAAAAATATGTAACTTGCAATGTAATATTTATATGATATAAAGAAAAATGTATAAATACAGTTTCATATGTTTGGGTTTTGTTAAAATTCTAAAAATAACTTTTTAAAACAATAAAAATTATTGAGGGAGTTTACAGTAATAGCCGTGTTAAAAGAAAATTCATCTTTTTGACAAATAGGTTTTTGTTAAACTTTGCCAACATTTTTTGGTTTCATTGGTATTCCATTACAAATTCTGTTTTATTACACATACCAACTCACTATGCATACTAAAGAATTGTTTTACTCCAATTACAACCAAGCATCAATTCATGCATGATACTTCAGCTAGTGTATAGATATATTTGAAAAGAGGCTGAAAAGTGTTGTCTCACCAAGAGGCTTTTCAGAGGTTGGTGGGGGTGGGGAAGTAATTCTTATTATTTAGTCAAAACTTTTTAGCACCTCCTCATATATACATAAATATCAAAAGGAGGGGGAGGTTTATCTTGGCTTTCTTGAGAAAACTATCGAACGCAACATGTGACTGTTATGTTCATCTACTGTGGAAATATATTTGCTCAACACGATTTGGGTAAATTCAAAATTGAATTTCTAAATTCAATATTGGATTTTCATTGATTTATGACCATTCATTACAATGTTAATATTTATACCTCATGGGTATTGTGGATTTAACAATAACAACATTAACTAATTTCTCGGCTTCTGCATGTGTGCATATGACTGTGAGGCGGTGGGGGACAATGATGAATCATCAAGCCTAAAAATAACTTGAGACAAAACTCCACTGTTAAAAGCACAGTTTCATCAACTATAAGTTGATTGAAAGTAGAAAATCTCACAATTTATTTCCCTTCAGTTGCAATTCAACTTAAAGAGAGGATTTTCTTGTAGAGAATGACAACAATAATAATAATAATCTTGAAATGGAAATCTCAAATATGTGGCACATGAGGAGATCAATAATTCCAGTTGTAGTGGGAGCCCTCAGATTGATTGGAAAAGGGTCTGATAATCTTATGAAATTATGAAGGGTTTTATCTATGTAAAATATATGTGATTTGGAGTTTTCCTTTTACAAAAATGATCAGTGGAAAAATGTCAAAACCATTTCTGGCTTTAGGTCTCTTGTTGGGACCCAGAAGGAAAAAAAAAAAATTTCAACTAGTGTTTATATTTTTATTCAACTTTTCTTTTTTGCAATTAACTTTTGAATTTCCCCAAGTTAAAAATATGAGGGAGTGCTGAAAAGTTACTAAGAAGCTCCCCTCCCAAAATCTTGTCATTTGATCCAACTTTAAGAAGTAGGCAGAGCCGAGAACTTTTCAGCACCTTCTTGTATTCTTTGTGCATGTTGTGGAGGAATATAGTATAATTGAATTTAATTAGAAATTTTACTA